GATGCCTTTGCACAGCGGTGCCTGAGGGGCATCTCTGCAATACTGCTTTCTGGGAACAAAATATTCAAGGTGAAACCAACAACGTTTCCTGATGAGAAGACCTAGGAAAAGTAAAATTCAGGGACTTCCTTTTCCTATGGTGAACAACATGCTGATGACACCTCTTGTGCATAAACTTGAATCCGTCTTCTCAGCTCAGCCCCTAAGTGAGTCTGAGGTCTGGGGAGGCTCCAGTGTGTGACAAAACAAAAGCCATGCTTCTGTGCTTGCAGTCCCCCAGCAAAGCCTGTCTTAAGCTGTGGCTGATAAAGATCATAGAATCATAGAACATTTTGGGTTGGAAGGGACCTTAAATCTCATCCAGTTCCAACCCCACTGCTATGAGCAGGGACACCTTCCACTAGACCAGGTTGCTCAAAGCCTCATCCAGCCTGGCCTTGAACACTTCCAGGGAGGGGGCATCCACAACTTCTCTGGGCAACCTGTTCCAGTATCTGACCACCCTCACAGGAAAGAATTTCTTCCTAATATCTCACCTAAATCTCCCCTCTTTCAGTTTGAAGCCATTACCCCTTGTCCTATGACTACCTGCCCTTGTAAAAAGTCCCTCCGCAGCTTCCTTGTAGCGCCCTTCGGGTCTATAAATGAGGTGATGAGCTAGAGGGTCAATGGTTACAGCAAGGTGCAGGTGAACTCAGTGGGTCCGAGGGCTCGAGGAGCACCCTGGGCAGCTCCTATGGCCCCACAAGCCACCTGAGACCTCTGTGGCCACTTGTCCTTCCCTGAGCTGTTTCCTACCTGATTCGTAACAAGAAGGGTCCTGTTTCTCCATCTCTCACTGGACTCCACTGTGCTCCCCAGTTATGTCCCTTTTACCCACTGAGCCAACCAGTCTGTTAAGCTGCAGCTCTGTCTGTGTGCTCATCTTAGTCTCTGATGCAAACTGTGCCACCAGCGTGTCTTATTAACGAGACTGTCTCGTCAGCAAAGGTGTGCTGTGGCATGAGCTTGTTGGGGAATGCACGGGGAACTAAAACCTGAGGAGGTGTGCCTTGTACCTCGGGCTTCTTGGAGCAACCTGTTAATTCCTTGCTTGTTCGATAATGATGGCAGGTGACTGAAGAATGGGAGAGAGCTAGCGAGCGTGGTGCAGCATGGCACGGTGGAGGCAGTGCTTATCAGACATGCTGGGGAGGAACGCATGGTGGCTGCTGGCTACTGGTTCATTTTCTTGAGTGCTTGATGTCCCCTCTGGCACCGTGGCAGGATTTGAAGCATGTTTCCTAGATCCTTGCAGCTAAGCTAGAAATAATGCATTTATAAGATCAGAGGCAGTTCACTGCTCAAGTTAAATGCTTTGAAAAGGCTGAGTCACTTGTGCGGGGAGGTGAGCTATCTGAGGAGCTGGGTTTCCTTCTGAAAACACCTTTTGTTATTGCTGCAAACACTGCTGGTGCTCTGCCTACAGCGGGGCTGCTGCTTTGCTGCTGGCTTGGAGCACACCCGTCCTGCCATGGCCTCTGTGGGTTGGATTGTGTGTTCCTTCCCTTAAAATAATTAACTGAACTCTGGGTGTGCTTGAGAAGCATCAAGGTGCAGAAGGTGCTATTGAGATTTGGTAAGTGATGTGAGGTCTGATCTGAGACTCATTAAAGCTGGTGGTAGTCTGTAGTTTGACTTCACTGACTCACACTTACAGAGCATAGCGTTTTATATCTCGCCTTACTCAAATTTAAGCCCAGATAGTCAAAAAGATTTTTCTAGAGATGTCAACGTCCCTGTTGGGTTAGAACCTGTGGAAATCAGGGATTTGGCTTTACTTTTACCTATTGAAGGCTCGTGGGTTAGGCAGCAGTTATAGTGGCTCCTTCGATAACCTCTGCAGGGGTTACAGGACACGGTGCTGGGGAGGGTTCAGGTGGGATGGATGCCTGGTTCTCCCACCTTTGCCTCGGTGGGTGTTACATACCCAGTCAGCGTACAACATGAGGAATTTTTTTTTAAAAGGAGCATAAATGTAAATGTGTCAGAAGCGTGGAGATTTACCTTCCCTTGCTGAGCTTCACCACTCCTCTGTGACCCAGGGAAGCCCCTTAGTTCCTGCAGGTCTTGGATAAGGTCAACAGGTTCCACCAATGGATGAATCCAGAAGTAATTACCCCAAAGTGAATTTTCAGCACTCTGAGCTTGAGGTGAATTGAAAGGTCCTACATCCCTGCCCAGTGCCAGCCTGTCTTCTGGCTGTGCCAGAAGTTTGGTATTTGCAGCCAGAGCTGTTTGATTGTCTCTTCACAGCAGGTAAAAACATCACTAATTAGCTTCCTACTTTGTGCTGTCCAAATGTACCTGAATTTCTAGGAATAAAGCCTGCATGGAACCTGATGCAGCAGTGAGTGCAAGTGGAAGTAGGACTGGATGTGCGAAAAATGTTGTTGATAAGTTATAAGAAATGAGCTGAGATTGAGAGGTATCTCCTCAGGTGGATCCTGTTGTGGGTGGAGGTGTGGGCACTGCGGTGCTTCGTTACTGTCCTGGTAACAGATTTAGAAGTCACTTACTGTTCTTAATAATAAACCTATCTTCAGACTGTTCCAGCCGTGGACCCAAGAGGAGCAGTTTTGGGGAAAATCAAACCTAAGATGATAGTTTAAATTAGATAGATGACATTTAAATCACCTTGGACACACGACTGTCTTAGATCCTTATGTTGTGCAACCGTTGGGCGCAATGGCATATGTAGATATTGCTTGATCTTGCAAAAGTTGTGAGCATCGTGTGCATATTGGATCAGGTTTGTGTTGGGGAATGGCTTTCTGATGGAAAGAACTTAAAATATCATGTATTGAACTGAAGTGTGATGTGGAAGTTGGCAAAGGTTGACAGAAGAGGGATGCCTTCTTAGTGAACCAAAAATACTGTAGCAATGGAAGAAAATGCACGTGGTGAGTGTGTGTGTGATGTGCAGTCATAGACTGCCACATAATGTGGCTCAAAAGATGTCATGACAAAAGGAGTCTGGGGTAAGGAACTGGATGCTTTTTCTTGTGGGGGAGAGGGGTTGTGGGGAAGGTCAGGCGGAAGGTGGGCCAGCTTGGGGTGGGTGCTGCCAGCTTGGCTCTGGAGCTGGTTCCTGGGGCAGCAGAGTGTGAGGAGGATGGGTGGGTGGGTTTGCCTTCGGATCTGTGGTGAAGATCCAGACTTTTTGCCCAGGGCCTGAGTCAGGACGCTGCTGTACTCGCAGCCTTTGCCCTGCTCCCCACATGGTGCTTCCCTTGTCCTATGCTCGTTGAATGCACGGGGTTAAACACCGAGGGGTTGCTTTGCCAGCTCCTGAAATGCAGAGACCTTTGATGTGAAAGTTGACAGCCTATTGCCATATTTTCTGTGGAAAGCCAAAAAAAGAGATATTGAATTAAACTGAATTGTATTATGTAGTGTTGGAGGTGCAGGACTTCCTCAGCATGCCACCTGCTCCTGCCTGCCCCGCACGTCCCACTGCCTTCTCCGGGAGTAGTCAACAGGAACAGGAGAGGAGACCAAGTGCCTTGGGGAGAACTTTCAATACCATTGCCTGAGGTCAGCTTTGGCACTTGGCTCATTAGGTGAGGAGCCAAGTGGCCCACCATTAGTGGGGCTGTTCTGTGCTGCTGGCCAGCCAGGCAGGAGATGCTGTGCTTCTCCTGGCAGAGGGAAGGACTTTTGCCCAAGTGTGTCCCTGGATTTGGTCCAAGGCCTCTGGTTCATCTGTGCTCAGTGGAAATTGTGCTTTTCCATTTGCAGCTGAATAGCTGGGAACTGGATGGGTTTCCCAGCAGCCACAGCCTCAGTTTCCCCAGAGCCATTGATAGCCTCACCAGGGATGTGTGCCTTGTGTGCTGGCCTGTCTGCTGATGAACCTGGTTCTTGGGGTCAATTCAGGATGTGACTGTCCCAGAGCTTTTTTCTTTATTGTCTGCCCAGTCCTTTAGTCTCTGATTTCTGTAATCTAATATTTGGGGCATCAGTAAAGATATCTAAGCCTTTTGTTATGACTGCAATACCACTCTAGCTCATTTTCCTTTTGAGAATGGGCTGCTAACATCTGACCTAGGCTTGATTTTGAACTGCTGGGCTATTTGGGATGAAGAACTAGCTCTGAAAAAAAGGCATGGACCTGAGACAAGGCAGATGCATCGATGCCCTTCCTGGGCTGGCTGGTGTGTTCTCAGTCTCCAGAGTTGTTTCACTGTGTGTATTTTGCATCTGCGAATAATAATCAGCATCTTGGAGCCAGGTCATGCTAGGGGGGAGAGGTTATTATAAACTGTCACGTCTAAGGAGCAGTGATGTCAGTTCTCCAGCTCTTTTTTGTAATTACTAGTTTTAAGCATCATTAAGTAAAAGGAAAGAAATAATGGCTGAACAGCTGTATTGATGTGAAGCTGTGGCCGTGGTACAGCCTGATGAACAGCAAGGGCACAGTTAAGCTGTGCTGTGGTCTCTGGGTAGAACGGGCTGGATGTCAAAGGGATGTCTCCTCTGAATTACCTTCCTGTGACCCAGGGATGTGTTAACTATGTTGTGCCTGAACTTCCCAAGTGGCTGGTGTGGTCCTTGAGGGCTGGAAAGGAAAGAGGATGTCTTCTCCAATGGGTCTGTGTTTTGTATATGAATAAGGATGTGAGGTTGGTAAGACCAGAACCACCTGAAACCATTTAAAATGGAGCAGGTAGAAACTACTGACCTTGTATTCATTCCTCCCTGTAGGTACTCTTTGCATGACTGCTGAAAAGCTGGTGAAGGATCAGCGATTAAAGAACAGTCTTCACCTGGGGATAGTATTCTTTCTGGTTTCTGCTCAGCATGAGGTACCGCCAGATGGTTCTTGGTTGCAGTTTAGAGCGTGACTAAAATTTATTTTTCAGGCACTTAGACAAATGGGATTTATTTAATTTCTCTTCCTGTTCTTCCCTTCCCCTCTGAGCTCTGTTCTGAATTTCCATGTTCCCTTTTCCCTGCAGAATGAAGTGGAGCTGGGAGAGCTGCTGTTGTCACTAAACTACCTACCCAGTGCAGGAAGACTGAACGTGGACATCATTAGAGCAAAACAGCTTCTTCAGACAGACATGAGCCAAGGTTCAGGTAAAGGGCAGTGTGTTTCTCACATTACTCATGCACAGCTTATATGTGCTTTTAAAACAGATCAGTGGTGAGGCTGCAATTTGTGGGTGACCCCGGGGGATGTGGATGCTCCGTTCCTATTAATACAAAGCTCCGGATAATATATATATAGACAACAATAACAGAAGTATTTGGAACACTTACCCTGAGATAAAATGGAGGGTGTGAATACCCTTGGCATATTTAAAGTAAAAATCTCTGACCCAGGGTGAGGTGAGGAGGCAGGATCCCTGAACTCCCCCCATGGTGTGTTCTGTAAGGCAGCTGTTTGTGGCTGCGCTGTGTTTTGCAGGTGCTGTGTGCTGCCTGGGTGTTAGTGGTGCAGTGGTTTCATTTACGATATCTAGCTGCTCTCTGGATGGTGTGAGGTTTTTCCAGTGTCCATGCATTGCTCCCTGCCATTCCCAAATGAGCTGACTGGTAATTGCTTCATGTGTATGTCCTCAGGTGTTTTTTCCATGTTCCCTGTCCCAGCCACTGCTGCTGCCAGAATATTGGCATTTTCCAAGAAGAACAGTATGCTTGGCCTCTCTCAAAGCTGTCATTAATTGTGGTTGGCAGGGAGCATTTTTAATCCAGCTGCCTGACTTTGATCTCCCCTGCAGGCCCCTGGGAGTGGTGTGGTGGTACAAATCCCAGTCATTCCCAAATGCTGTTTTCCAGCACAGTCCATCCCTGCGGCGCCCACCCTTCACACACCGGGGTGCTGACTCACGGTGCTGTAACGCAGAACCTGTGTCTTGTCTGTTTTGTCAGATCCCTTTGTGAAAATTCAACTTGTTCATGGATTAAAATTAACAAAAACCAAGAAGACCTCCTGCATGCGGGGGACGATAGATCCCTTCTACAATGAATCCTTCAGTTTCAAGGTTCCACAGGAAGAACTGGAGAACGCCAGCCTAGTGTTCACAGGTAAATGTGGTGTTGTCACCGGCTTGGCATGGTTGTGGTTGCCTCAGGGGTGAACAAAGAAGCAGTTGTGGGTGTACAGATGAACCTGTGCAGGATGGTGTCTGTCCCAGTAGCCACCCTGCAAGGGGAGGCCATTGCTGGAGTCTCCAGGGAAGGTTAATTAGCCCTCTGTCCTCCGCAGAAGCTGTTCCCAGCATTGCCACCTGATGGCTGGAGCTGGCTGGGACCACACCACATTGGTCTTGTGCTTAATTGATGCAATTGGGAATGCTTCTGTGCAGGGGAGGAGGCATTAATTGTACTTCTCAGCAGCAACCAACTTGGGCATAAAGTAAAAGAATGAGAGGGAAGTGTTGAATGATCCCAGAGCCCAAACACTGGCAAAGATAACTTCTGGCACTTGACATAATTTGCTGGTGAGATGATGCAGCTCTAGGTGTTTGACACTGACATCACCTGTTCTGTAAGCAGGTTTGTTCGTGCCTTTTATTTTTAAAGGGCTGGGACTCGGTGCCAGGCCCTGCGTGGAACTGCTGAGATAGACCAAGACACAGACCTTGCAGGCTGTGGGCCAGGAGGAGTCCCAGAGCTGACCTGACTCAAGAGCTTTGTCAGCACTGGAGGTGTTTGGCTGGGATAGGAATTCTTATTTTTAAACCACTTGTGAATCTCCTGGTTTTGTTCTCCAGGCATGAAGACAGTCGGTGGCAACAGTTGGGCTGCTGGGAGCAGGGTAGCAGGGTGCAGGGGCGAGTCCCCGGCTGCGCTCTCGCCACAGGCTGGGCAGTAATGGTGGGGCTGAACTGAGGCCATGGACCCGCTGTGGCCAGTGGCCTTTTCTGCCATTCTGCAGCATGGAGGTCTTGGGCAGGGCTGCTGGGACCTTGGGAAGTGGTGCGTTTCCCTGCTGTGCCATGACTTCACCTGGTCTGCGTGTGCTGTGGAGCTCGGACACCGTCAGAAGCAGGGTCAGACCTTGTCCTCTGGAGAAGCAGAAGGGCTGGGTGCTGGGACCCGCAGTCTCCTGCCACGCTGGGCTCCCATGCTTCACAAACACATTTTTTTGGCAACTTTCCACCTATTACTCACCATCTTTCGATGAAGAGAAAGGAATCTGCATCTGAAATAACATATTTTGAAGTATTTTAAAATTTTATTTCTTACATAGCAAATACAGGTGTCAAAGCTCATACAAGGAGCCTAATTCCAACCCATTAGTTTGTTTCCAAACATGTTATAACAAAAATGATGCTGATCAGGAATTTAAATTTTGCCCTTCATGCTCAGAAATTTCCTCAGCAAAAAGTCTATAATTAATCACTACTTTGCATGCACATCACCCTGACTGTACCTTGCATGTGCAATGATGAATTTGTTCTTGGAAGCTTCCATCAGGTGATCTTGTGACAGGCGTGAAATACTCTTTTCTTTGTTTTCCCGTTTTCCTACTAGAAGAAAAGGCAAACAGAGTAGCAGCTCTGTGCAGTCAGAGGGGTGAGGGGAATATGCTGCTCCTCACCGTGGCTGATGAAGTTAGCATTAATGAGTGGATGTCCGCTTATTTTTTTCTGTGCAAATGAATGTATTCTCAAATAAGTCAATGGGAAGTTAACTGATTTATAATTATATGTAATGCAGTTGGATTTCAGTGGCGTGCCTTTTAAGTGGTGCTTCACTTTCCAAGTGACGTGCTGCCTGCTTTGAACATTGCAATAAATAATCCCAGGCCAGAAATGTCACCATCAGTTCCAAAACTGGGAAGGAGCCTGCAGAGCTTTTTGGTGGAGCAGTGGGGTCAGGTTCTCGTGGCTGCTCTCGGACTGAAGGGTGGTGCGTGGCTTGGACACAGCATTGCTGCTGGTGTCCTTGGGCTTGCTGCTTCTGCTGTGGTCAGGACTCTGTTGGTTGAGAGATGTGGTTTGTGTGGCCAATAGATAGCTGGAGCCAGAGGTGTTGGTCTCATTGTGTGTACACTCTTCTGCTGGCTTGGTGCCTGCACTGCCTTCTGTTGTTAGAGGAACCAAGAGCCCATTTTGTTGCAGGGACCTTTGAATCAGGACTCCTCTACAGGCATCTCTAGTGTCATGGGAGCGGGGTGGTTCAGGGGATGTGGTGGTTGATATGTTCACCTACGCAATGGAGATGCTCCAGATGTTGGTGGAAGCATGTCCCCAACAGCAAGGGCAGCGCCAGTTTCTTCTTGTGTGCATCCATGAGGTTTTAATAAAATGAGTATCAGCATGCAGCTTGGCTGAGGGTCTGGGCTGGGGATGGTGGTATTCCCCATATAGCTGCCTTCTTGGCATGCTAGGGTATTGCGCAGCTTAAAAGCTTGTAAAGGGCTTTGGGATCTTCTGTTAAAAGACAATAAAGAGCAAGTGGTTCCCAGCATGGAGAAGTTGTACCTCACAATGTGAGGATCTTTTTATTATTTTGCATCTCTATAAAACAGGAGCATAAGCCACAGTTTTTCTCTCTCTTTTTTTTGGGGGGTTTTTTTTTTTTTTGTTTTCACTTGAGGTTTTTTTGGCTGCAATGATGGTTCATTCTGTTGTGTGTTTTGTGAGAGCTGGTTTTTATTTCTCATTTTTTTCAATCCACAACTCTAGTCCATTAGGTCAGTTAATTAAATTTGCTGTTGAGTCAAAGTCCAATTGAAAAGGAAAATAATCCTGCTTGAAGGGTGGGTGACAATGCTTTGAAAGGAGAGAGAGCTGTAAAAGCAGTCGTGGGAGCCAGAAGTGAGTATATCTTCAATAATTTAAAGGAGCCTTTTTTGTGGCTTCATATTTTGGACCCAGTCTGCAGCTGTCTTTACATTGGCTTGGCTTCACTGGAAAGCTGTGGAGCTGTGCCAGTCCCTATCAGCTGAGGCTCCTGACTCCCTCTGTGTGGCTGGTACCATGCTGCAAAGCGAGGCACTATCTAGACAAAGTAAGATTAATTTTTTTCTTTCCCCTGTGTGTTTTTCTCATGTGCATCTTGAATCAAACTGCCTGGGTTTAGTGTGCTGTAGTAAGAATTTACGCAGCGGTTTGCTGTGACTTCAGCAAGGACTGTGTGTGCAAACACTGGATGGATGGATGGTCTTCTGTAAAGCACCATTCTGCTCCCTGTTTTCCTGGTGGTGCTCTGGAGAGCTGGACTTTGGACTCAACGCAGGGCTGAAGCGCAGCCAGACTAGGAGATGGGCATTGGGTGCCTCCAAGATGAGGTGCACAGGGTGAGCTCTGTGTTAGCCAAGATTTTTAGGGAGTTGGGCTGGTTTTTAGATCTTTTCTCCTCCTTAGGCATACGAGGATTCAACACTAAATTATTGGTGTTTACAGACCAAAATCCTTCTCCTCCCACATTGGTGCAGGACACCTCATACAAGCTGTCTTTCTACCTTCGCCTCTCTTTCTATCTCAGATGCTTACTGGAGCTGTCACTAACTCACATGTCCCAATTTAGTGCCTAAAGTGAGATGGGATGAGCTCAGGTGGAGATGTCCAGGGTCAGGACCCAGGGTCAGGTTTGCTGCTGCAAGTATTGTCTGTTCACAGCTTCTCACTAAGAGAGGCTAAAACCAGGAAAACAACTGATACGATGAGTCTAATGTCTGACGGAAAAAAGATGGTGAGTGAGGTAACAGCTAGTGGAGAAGACGTTTGATTTTCCTGTACTCCATCGAATGTGTTGTCTCTGTAATGAGCATCCATGTACATGCTGAATCAGAAATGTGCTTTTTTGAGTGGTTCTTTTTTCCACTTTTTTTTTTTTTTTTTTGGCAACTTGACACACATCCCCCATGTGCCATCTTCTGCTGGACTGCAAACAAGTTATGGGTTCATCTCTTGCAGAGAAATAGGGCAGGCTTTAAAGGACAGTATATTCTCCTAACCACGTATACCTGTGAACAAAGGTGTTAATTATTTTTTGTCCCACGGTAAGGGGAAGGTGGAGTTTGGCCCTGGCAGCAGGGCTGTCAGCTGCTGCCTGAGGTCATTTCCAGGCAGAAAAAAGGATATTTGAGGTGCGACTGCAGCCTCTGTGCTTGGGAGGGCTGGATGCTGGGTGTCCAGAGACACCGTGTTCTCCCTGCAGATGGATTTTGGGCTGGCTGCCCTCTAAATCCCAGCCTAACCTTTGGTTTGGCTGTGCAGCAGGAGGTGAGACAACACCTGAAATCCGAGCACTGTGGTATTTTGTTAATGATTATAACGTTGTTAATAACAAGCATCGGTAATGCTGTTTGCATTGCAGTAAAGCCCAGATGGCCCAATAAAAAACACCAGCGCTGTAGGGCAAACCACATCTTTTGATCACTCACCATAAAAAAAAAAATAGAATAGAACCTTCAGCACTCACAGTTAGGGAATATATATCTGCCTGAGGTCCTGTGGTGACTGCTTGTGTCTTTCTCCATCTAAATACGCTCTGGTGCATGCTTATGTGACAGGATCTTTAGGCTTTGTGAAGCAAACAGTGTCCCCAAAAAGGGAAAAATCATTTTCATGCTCTGGGTACCATCTGTGCAAATGTAGAGGAAAAACCTGCTGTGCCATCTGACCTGGCCGAGAGTATAGCCAGAGCTGGGACAAGCATCGGAGCTGGTGGTGTCTGATGGAGAGTGGTTGTGGGGCTCTTCCCATGGCACCGTTCCTGTGTGAAAGGTGGCCATGGCTCCAGGAGGACAGGATGCTTTGCCCAGGGGAGGGATGCAGGTTGAGGCAGGCTTTGTGTGTTGATGGAGAGATTGGCCTTGATACATGCATGACAGCTGCTGAGATCTTCACCAGAAGTACTGGCTGAGAACACAGCTCACAGGGATTCTCTCTTCTGAACCATTTGTGGGATTTTATATGATTATCTTCACTTTTCAATATATTTTTAAAATGGACCATGTCTCTCTTTTCTGTAAAGATTTAGGACCAATTTTTTCATATTATTTAAAGTATTTGAGTTGAGCAGTGGGACTTTGCACACCTGTACCTGTGGTTTCAATGGCCACTGCAGAC